GGAGATGAGGGATCAATGATCTCTCTGGAGATGGGGATCAATGATCACCCTGGAGATGGGGATCAGTGATCACCCTGGAGATGAGGGTTCCATGAATATCCTGGAGATGGGGATCCATTATCACCCTGGAGATGAGGAATCAATGATCACCCTGGAGATGAGAAATCAATGAACACCCTGGAGATGAGGGATCAATAAATAACTCCAGCAGCCATGGCTGTAGGGAGGTTGGGGACTTAATGCTCTGTCCCCGAGTGTCACCAGGGGACAGATCTGAGGGGCCAAATATTGCAGTGCAGTATTTGCAACAAAACTTTACAAACATTACTGCAAGAAAGCTTTTCTGGCTGTCCTTGCTCTGCTGGGATATTCTTTATCTCATAAAGGCAGTTTGTGGGGTTTTAGATCACTTTTTGGTCAAAAATATGTCTGATCTGAAAAGGCTGTGTGCTCAGGGAAAATTCATCAGGAAAAACTCTCCTAAACTCCCAGTTTTCTAACCTGGAACTTGAATTTGTTGTGATTCACCCATCTTTTGGTATCAGATGGTAACTTTGCAACACAGAAGCAAATATTTGCAGAGGTTTGTTCTTCTTCAATCCGTTAATAAATGTTTGTTTGGGTGTGCAGATGAGCTTAAAATCAGGGCAGATGATGGAATGGGAGTCCCAGGCACACATCCCGGATGCTGTTTGCTGTCACAGAGGGTGCCCAGTCCTGGAAGGAATAGCAGGAAAAAGGAAAAGGACAGTGATTTGTACCAAAAAGGAGAGGTTGGTGTCACGTGGGCTCTGGTTTGCTTGGTGATTTTTATTTCCCCTTGTTGGACTGGGCCACCTTCAAACAAAATGAACCAGGCTGAGCTGTCCAGGGAAAATGTGGAAAAGGACGAAACCCTAATTAGCTGTTTGGTTTTGGGATGAATGTATTAATTTCTCTTTCCATGGGTGAATCAGGTGCTTGTGGATTTGGCCCAACTTCTACTACATTTTTTTTTTTTCAGAAAGAAAATCCTGAAAATAGTGTGGGGTCAGAGGGAAGCTGCAAGGACCCTAAGGAAGGAGAGGAATTGTTCAACACCCCCCATCCATCCCTTTGGTGGAGAAGGACAGGACAGTGATGGTCTGGGAGAGAAAAACGAAGAGCAGACCTGGCAGAGCTCAGCTCTGTGAACTCCCGCCCATTATGGGCCACTTACCCTGAATTTTCACAGGGGATGAACAAGATCTGGGCTTGGCCCAGTTAGGAGGGACCAGGTCCCCAAATCAGGACCCTGGAGGAGCTCCTGGCTGGTGACGAGGCTCAGCGAGGCTGAAGAGCCACCACTCTCATTGTCCATTTGCCCAAAGGAAATCTCCTCGTTCGGATCTCCTGGGAGTTGTTCTGGGCACTGGCGTGGATTTATTTAGGGCAGGAGGTGGGAGATTGTGTGTTCCTGCTCACACCACCTCTGGCTGCCCAGTTACGGGCTGATGGTCTCTCTGTTTGCCCAGTTATGGGGTATGGTCACTCTGGCTGCCCAGTTACGGGCTGATGGTCATTCTGGCTGCCCAGTTATGGGATCATGGTCACTCTGGCTGTCCAGTTATGGGCTGATTGTCACACTGGCTGCCCTTTTACGGAGTGATGGTCACTCTGGCTGTCTAGCTATGAGGTGATGGTCACTCTGACTGCCCAGTTATGGAATCATGGTCACTCTGGTTACCCTTTTATGGACTGATGGTCACTCTGGTTACCCTTTTATGGAGTGATGGTCACTCTGGCTGCCCAGCTATGGAGTGATGGTCACGCTGGTTGCCCAGTTATGGGCTGATAGTCACTCTGCTTTTCCCAGCAGCCATTCAAGGTTTAGATGCCACCTTGTGACACTTCCACAAACTCCCATGGCTCTTTTTGTCACTTGTGGCTGTGGGCTGAGGCCCACGAAGGCCACCAAGGCCTGGGTGGCACAGCCTGGTGGCACCTGGGGATCTGGGCTCGCATGGGTGGCATTGGTGGGAGCCTGATGCCAGTGTGGTGAAGTTCTCCACTTACATCTCCAATAAGCACCAGTTCCCCCAGGTTCTCCTGGATGGTGCCTGGCACCTTGCACACCCTTGGATCATCAGTGAAGCTCCGGCTAAGGTAGATGATGGAATGTCTGGTTTTGGAATTCCTCTTGGAATTTGGGAGAGGGAGAGCCATGTGAAGAGCTCTGTGGGGGCTTTTTGCTCAGTGGGGTTGTTTTTTAGTCAGTGAGGTTGTTTTTTGCTCAGTGGATTGTTTTTTGCTCAGTGAGGTTGTTTTTTGCTCAGTGAGGTTGTTTTTTGCTCGGTGAGGTTGTTTCTTGCTCAGTGGGGTTGTTTTTTGCTTGGTGAGGTTGTTTTTTAGTCAGTGAGGTTGTTTTTTGCTCAGTGGGTTTTTTTTTGCTCAGTGAGGTTGTTTTTTGCTCGGTGAGGTTGTTTTTTGCTCGGTGAGGTTGTTTTTTGCTTGGTGGGGTTGTTTTTTGCTCGGTGAGGTTGTTTTTTGCTCAGTGGGGTTGTTTTTTGCTCGGTGAGGTTGTTTTTTGCTCGGTGAGGTTGTTTTTTGCTCAGTGGGGTTGTTTTTTGCTCGGTGGGGTTGCTTTTTGGTCAGTGGGGCGGTTTTTTGCTCAATGAGGTTGTTTTTTGCTCAGTGGGGTTGTTTTTTGATCGGTGAGGTTGTTTTTTGGTAAGTGGGGCTGTTTTTTGCTCAGTGGGGTTGTTTTTTGCTCAGTGAGGTTTTTTTTTGGTAAGTGGGGCTGTTTTTTGCTCAGTGAGGTTGTTTTTTGCTCGGTGGGGTTGTTTTTTGCTCGGTGGGGTTGTTTTTTGCTCAGTGGGGTTGTTTTTTTGCTCGGTGGGGTTGTTTTTGCTCAGCAGCCCGATTCTCCCATTTCTCCTGCCTTGTTTCAATGCCTACAGTGACACACAGTGGTGATGGGCTCTGCCGTGCCACTGCACTGCCCGGACCTGGGGACGCTGGATATGGTGGCAGTGGTGACCACCAGACTGCCTTGCAGGAGGATCCACCTGCTGATGAGGTTTGGGCTCCAGGCTGCTCCTCACATGGCCACATTAGGAAGCTTTGGAGCTTCCAGGCTTCCATCCAATCTGCTGCCCATTTCCCATGGAGTTTTCTCCCAATCAGCAGAGATCTTCAGGTTCCCTAAGCTGATTTGTGCCACAAATGCCGCGCTTAAATCCTCTTTAGTTTCTGTGACAATGCAGGGTTTTTTTAGCCTTGTGTAAGCAGCCAGGAAATAAAAGTTGGCTTTTGGCTGTCGTGCTCCCCCTGTTCCTTGCACTTCTGGAGAGCCCAGCAGGCAGAGGTGGCTCTGTTGTTGCTCAGGAGAACATTTTCCAGTGTCCCTGGCTGTGTTCCCCTTCCATTTGCAGGTGTTTGCAGGGCAGGTAGACGCCGGTTTTCCTCAGGATTATTCCATTCTGCCATTCCATTTCTTCGCTTCCAAAGGATTTTTAGATTTATTTTCTTTTTCCTCACCTGTTTGGAGAAGGAAAATGATCAGATGAGGAGAAGTTTTGGGCTGTCTTCCCACTTGAGCTGGGGGTAGAATCACAGAATCCCAGACTGGTTTGGCTTGGGAGGGACCTTAAAGCCCCATCCTGTTCCATCCTTTGGGCAGGGACACCTTCCAGTGTCCCAGGATTCTCCAATCCCCGTCCAAGCTGGCCTTGGACACTGCCCGGGGAGCTTCAGGCAAGCCCCTATTTCCAAATCCCAGCTGTTAAAAAGATAAATAAAATCCTGATACTGATCTTGTTAGAAAGCTCTGGAAGTAAGGAGCAAGCCGCAAACAAATGCCTTGAAAATGTGTGGAAACGCCAGGAATGCTGCGTTTCTCAGGCTCATCCCTCCGAGCAGCCCCGGTACCGGCGGCTCCCGGAGCGGGGCGGATGCGCCGGATCCCCCCGGCCACAAAATCCGCTCCTGGCTGGCAGCCCCCGCAGCCGCGCGGCTCAAGGTCAAGCTGCCGCCAGCTCCATCCCTCCGGAGGGGCAGAGAACCCTCGGCGAGCGCCCAAATCGCTTCTCCCCGGCGGTCCCGGGGGGTTCGGGGCGGCCGCGGGCGGGCAGCGATGCTGCGCTGCCGCTGACATTTCCGCCCGCGGGTGCCCAGCCAATTGGCGCGGCTGGAGCAGCCACACATGAAATATGATGATTTTCAGCAGGAGGAGGAGGAGGAGGAGGAGGGGGAGAGGGCGGGAGAGCCGCCGGCCCGCATGCCGGGGGCTGCGCACAGCCTGGCCGGAGGCGAGCGCGGCCGGAGCAGCCGCAGCACCCCGGGAATGGCCCCGAGCGCTGACCAGGAGGATGGCACCGCCACCCAGGTGGGCCGGGCACGGTGGCACCACGGCCGGGGGACGCTGCCCTGGGGCCTGGGGACGCGCAGCTTTGGGGGATCTGTTCTGTCCCCTCCCAGAACCGATGGCTCGGCGCTGTCCCCGGCCCCACACATAGGGCCACCGGCGCTGCTTAGCGGAGGGCTGAACTTTTTTTGGGGGGGTTCGGTCCGGTTTGGTAAAAACCCGGAATGCCAGCCCTGGAAAGACGCGGTGTTGCTGTGCCAGAGCTGCTCGGTTCAAACTTCGCAGCCTGGTCCTCAGTTTGATGGGAAGCACTTGACAGAGCTGCTCTGTGCCTGGCGTTAACCCTCTCCCAGCTCCGGCCGGGCTGGAAGCTGTTAATCCCGAAAAATTCACTCGCAACAAATTTAACCCCACTAAGGAGCCACGGCAGAACTCCGGGAATGGCATCCAGCAGCTGCTCCTTTTTGTAATGACTTTGCATTTATCTCAGAGCCGGCTGGCGAGTTTGCACTTTATTATTATTATTATTATTATTTCCCCGAAGGGGAGGGGGTCCGATTAAAAATAATAATCATACAATAATATTCCCGAGGCAACCCTGGGAGGGCAAACCACACCTCCCCGTGCTCCGGCTGTGCCACCGCTGTCGCTTTATTAATTTCCCTGCGCCGTGAGTGACAGTCCTCCAGAAGTGATAATTGGTGCGCTGTGTCTTTAAAAGGTTAAAACCCTTTTCAAAAAGGCCTCGACTCATAGTGGGAAAAGACAAGAGAGGCTTTGGCTGGCTTTGGATCCAGAAAACAGCTGCTGATTAGAGCCTGCGTCTTCGGGCTGAATTTATTACATATTTTTCAGCAGCAGGGATTCTAGGAGGAAGCTTCCGTTTGGGTTTCTTGATCGTGGTTTATTTTTATTCAGAGGAATAACAGAGGAAGGATTTGTTCCGGCTGGAGCATGCTCACAACCTGCAAGACCTCCCATTATTAAACTGCCTACTTTAGGCTTTAATATCCATGTGGTATTTTTTTGATTTTTATTAGCGTTATTATTATTTGGCAGCGTGCATCTGTCTATTTTTTTTTTAATTTTTTAAAAATCATTTATTCGGAGAGGAAGCTGATCTCGCAATGAGCTTTCTCCTTCCTTACTTGAAACAGGTGCTAATGAAAGAATGCAAATAGCACCGGCTGAGCCGAACATTTCATAAAGAAGGGAACAGCCACCGACCCCAAGCGCTCCGGGATCTGCCCGCTGGCCCCCGGCAAAGGTAGGCACGGGGGCTTTTGTCGCTATTTTTTTGCTGTTGTTCTCTGCGTGGATCTTTGGGATTTTTTCTCGCCCTTCCTTCCTTCCTTCCCTCCCTCTCTGGCTGGCTGCGGGTGCCCAGCTGGCCGGCCAGATTCCATTTTTTCTCCCCAAAGGTGCCAGCTTGGCGTCCCCAGCCCGTGTCCCCGCGTCCCCAGCGGGGGTGGCCGCGGCCGCCTCCGCGCTGGGCGAGCGCCCCGAGCCCGGCGCTGTCACCGAGCCCAGCCCGGAGCCGCGGCCCCGCCACGCTCGCAGCTACTTTGCCGCTTAATTAGCCCTGGCTGTCGCATGAATTTATCGTCGCTTGACAGCAACTTCATTTTCTCCCACCGTGCGGGGAGGAGGAGGAGGAGGAGGAGGAGGAGGAGGAGGCGATGAATTGGCGCTGGCTGGTGGGAGGCAGCGCTGGGGGCGGTGGGAGGCGATCGCGGGGTGTGACAGGGACGTGCCAGCCGGGCCGGGGCGTGCGGAGGGACGCGGGCTCGGGGCCGCGCTGCTCCGGGGACAGCCGCGTCCTCCCGGGCCCCGCGGAGCCGAGCGCGGGGCCTGCGCCGCTTCCATCGCTCCCCGCGGCTGCTCCCCGATGCTCCAGCGCGGAGAGAAATGCCCGAATTAAACACAGAAAATAAGATTCCAAGGCTCGTTTCAGCAGCGAGGTCCCTGCTGGTGGCCGGATCCCTGCACAAAGCGCTGCGGTTGGGGTTTTTTCCCTCCTCCTGCTCGGTTTTATTTGGTTTTATTTTGGTTTTATTCGGGGATCAGCCTGCGAGGTTTGTCCTTTGGGAAGCCCGAGTTCTCCCCGGTGTCGGAGGCAGGTGGAGGCATCCGCAGCCCCTTGCGGTACCTGCCCGCGGCTCTGGCCGGGTTTTGTGCCGTGTTCCCAAGCCCGGGCTTGCAGCAGGGACTGCAGTGGCCTCCCCAAGGGCCAAATCCAGCCCTCCCAAGGGGGATCCAGCTCCTCCGGCTGTGGGAGCCTCCGAGGGCAGGGATTAGCCCATTGTCTGGAAGTTTGTGTTTATATTTCGGCGTGTTTAAGTGTTACATATTTCTGTTCTGGCCGTGCACGCAGGATACTTGCAGGGGTTTTGCCTGAGCATTCAGGAAAGGATCTGCAAGAAAAGTTTCCCCCGATGAGTTATGCGAGCCTAGGGTGGGAAGCACGTGAAACAAAATATTTATTTTATATAAACAGCCCCTTGTAGCTTCCTCCAGAGAGAACTTGGGAATGTCTGACCTGACAGAGGAAAAGCACCCAAAACTCAATGTGCAGCCCGGTCTGTCTATCCCTCCCCCATTCCAAAAGCAGATGATTTTTAATTAAGAATTTGATATGGGGTGTGTGTGCAGGAAAATAGGATTAAAATGTGTTCTGGAGGCAGCAGGATGGGAATATTCCCCTGCTCCTGGTTTGGGCTGGGCGAGGGCCAGCAGCACCTCGAGTCCCCCGCCCTGCTGCTCTGAAAGACAAATCCAGGTGCTGATGGCTGCTGGAAAGCCCCAGCCGCGGGCTTTGGGATGTGAGAACGCGGATTTTTCCCAAAACCTCGTGTTCCGTGTGCCGAGGCAGCCGCTGCTCCTGCAGGATTCACTTCTTGCCGTGCCAGTAACGGAGTTTGCCCAATGCAACTTTAAATTTTTTTTTTTTTTTTTTGGTGATTGCAAATCCTCTGAGCTGTACCAGAACATGGGGAGGTCTGGCTTTATTCCCTCCCGCTCTGGCTCAGCCGGAGTGCCGGGATCTGTCCCGGCAGCGCCGTGTGCTGCTCCTCCCCATGCCCAGCACTCGCTCTGCTCAGGGAAAGCTTTGGGATGAGAGGAAAGCTGGAGTGAGCAGTGGCTGAGGGGGGAGAGGATGGGAAGGTGTTCTTCCTTCAGATGTTGGCGTTTCCCCAATGGACGTTGGCGTTTCCCCTATGGAAGTTGGCATTTCCCCAATGGACGTTGGCGTTTCCCCTATGGAACGTGGCGTTTCCCCAATGGACGTTGGCGTTTCCCCAATGGACGTTGGCATTTCCCCAACGGACGTTGGCGTTTCCCCTATGGAACGTGGCGTTTCCCCTATGGACGTTGGCGTTTCCCCAATGGACGTTGGTGTTTCCCCTATGGAACGTGGCATTTCCCCTATGGACGATGGTGTTTCCCCTGTAGTGTTTCCTCTATAGAAGGGGATGTTTTCCCTATGAAGATGTTTCCCCTATGGATGTTGGTGTTTCCCTTATGGAATTTGGTATTTCCCCTATGGAAGGTGGTGTTTCCCCTATAGAAAGTGGTGCTTCCCCTATGGAAGGTGGTGCTTCCCCTATGGAAGGTGGTGCTTCCCCTATGGAAGGTGGTGCTTTCCCTATGGAATTTGGTGTTTCCCCTAAGGAAAGTGGTGTTTCCCCTATGGAATTTGATGTTTTCCCTATGGAATTTGGTATTTGCCCTATGGAAGTCGGTGTTCTCCCTATTAAAGCATCTCCTCTGTTGAGTTTTGGTTTCTGAGCTGCCTCTGGGGCTATGAACACCTTCATGCACAACGCAAACCCAGCCATTGGAGCAGGACACAGTGGAGTTTGTCCCACAGTTCTTGGCACAGATGGTGGCACCTGAGTCCTGCCAGGAGCTGCTCTGAGGCCTCTGTGACACCTGAGGACCGGTGGGAATTTGCGGCCCTGCATCCCCACGATGTTTATAATTTCACCCCACTGAGAAAGAGAAATAAAACTGGTTTTGTCCCAGGCACTGCAGCCCAGCTCATCTGGCACTGGAAAGGATTCTGGTCATTATTTTCCTCGAAACAGCCGTAAAACTCCTGTAAACACACCCAGCACATCAAGGCAGGGCCTCCAAAGGTCTCTCCAGCATCTTGGCTTTTCTAGGGAATGGCTGTGGCAGTTCCATGGGAATGGAAAGATTTTCTGGGAATTCAGAGAGTGGCTGATGGGCCAAAGAGTTTTATGGAGCCCTGGAGGAGCTGGGGTCAGAGCGCTGAATGGCCTCCTCCTCCTCCTCCTCCCCTTCCTCATCATCCTCCTCCTCAGGTCACTCCAATCCTGGATTCCCACCTGGATAAAACTCCCGGAATTCTCTCTGTGCTCAGGATGAGGAGCTGGTGAGGGAGGGATGAAGAGGAGAGCAGGAGCTCCCCATTGACCTGAGCCCCACATTTTTAACAGGGCCGGCAGTGGGGGATTCTGTGTGCCGGGTGCTGTGGGAGCACAAACCGCTCTGCACAAATTTGGGGTAAAAAACCTCTTTTTCCTCCATGTCCTGCCCAATCTCTGCTGCTGGCTCAGTTCACGCAGGTGGATAATGTGGGATAACATGGGAATAATGTGGGATAGGATGAGAATGATGTGGGATAGCATGGGAATAATGTGGGATAACATAGGAATAATGTGGGATAGGATGGAAATGATATGGGATATCATGGGAGTAATATGGGATAATGTGGGAATAACATGGGATCACATGGGAATAACATGGGATAGGGTGAGTATAATGTGGGATAGGATGGGAATAACATGGGACAGCACAGGAATAACATGGGAATAATGTGGGATAACACAAGAATAACGTGGGATAGGATGGGATATAATGGGAATAATGTGGGATAGCACAGGAATAACATGGGAAGAGTGGGAATTATCTGGGATAGCACAGGAATAACGTGGGATATCACGGGAGTAACATAGGATAGGATGGGAATAACCTGGGATAGCACGAGAATGGTAAGCCCAGCTCCCTGATTTATTCCCTTGTTTAAAGGTGTGTGGTGATACCTGAAGAGGATTTTCCAAAACAACTTAAAGGGCTGGTGCTTGCTACCCATATTTAGCCATCTTTTGGGCCCATATTTACCCATATTCCTGACCCACATTTACCCATATTTCCCCATATTCTTGACCCATATTTTGAACTCATTTTTACCCATACTCTTGACCCATATTTATCCATTTTTATCCATATTCCTGACTCATATTTACGCCTTTTCCTGACCAATATTTACCCATTTTCACCCCTATTCCTGACCCGTATTTACCCATTTTTACTTGTATTCCTGACCTATAGTTACCCATTTTCATCCATATTCCTGAGCCATTTTTACCCCCATTCCTGACCCATATTTACCCATTTTTACCCCTATTTCTGACCCATATTTACCCATTTTCACCACATTCCTGCCTTTCCCATGGCAGGACTCTCAGGATCCACAGGCCACATTTCTCCCTTTAGTTCTTTAAAAAGCTCTGGAACCTTTTCATGCCAAGAATGGAAACGTTGCAGCTCCCTAAGTCAGGGATTTGCTCTCAGTGCTGTGGGGGGGACCAGCGTGGCCTTTTTTGTTCCTTTTTAACCTTTCTGCATCTTTACTTTTCCTCCTGTGTGGGAAATGGGGAGGAGGGAGGAGGGGGAACCTCCCGGCCGAGCTCTCAGTGGGAGTCCCTGGCAGATTGAAAATACAAATAATAAGTTCTGACTCTAAGCCCCAACTGCAGACAGCAGCACTCGCTGGGGTTTTGGGGTTGTTTTTTGATTTTAGGTCATTATTTGCTGGGCAAGCTCTGGAAAATGCTGTAGGGGAAGCACATTTTGCTGTGGAGCCAAATGGGGTTTGAGAAGCCCCAGGGCTGTGGGTGCTGAGGGGGATTGGGGCTGTTTCAGGGGATATGTCACAGCTGGAGTGGAATAATGGGATCATTTAACCAGGCTGGGACACTTTGGGATGCTGCTGGAATCCCCAGGGAGCCCCGGGAATTGCTGCTGGGATGGTCCCCAGGAGCTGCTCCCAGCCTGGATGTGCTGCTGTGTCCCACAAGGCCCTGACCCCACTCCCTGCAGCTGGGAGAGGAGGATCCCACAGGAGGATCCCATGGGATTCCAGTCCTTCCAGTGGATTTCCCAGTCCCGGAGCAGCCCAAATTTCAGTGCTGCACAATCTGTCCCTCCCTGAGTTTCTGTGGGACCTTGGGAAGGAGC